TCCTCCTCTTCTTCTCCTTCTCCTTCCTTCTCCTCCCCTCCTCCTCCCCTCCTCCTTCTTCTTCTCCTCCTCCTCCTTCTTCCTCCTCCTTCTCCTCCTCCTCCTCTTTTTTGTTTTCCAGGTCCATTTTGGAAAAGGAGGGGCCGAAGTCACTCTTCCGTGGGTTGGGCCCCAATCTGGTTGGAGTCGCGCCATCCAGGTAGAAATTTGAAGGCAGTTTTTAATTTTTTTTTCCCCTCCATTATTTTTCTCCCCCAAGAGGGTTCGTTTGTGGGTGCAGGGTTGAGGGGGGAATTCCGGTCTTCAGGAGTTTCTGGAGAGTTGTGAGGATTTGCTGCTAGATCCTCCCGGTTTTAAGGCGAGTGGGAAAGACTAATTTACTGGCTTGAACACCCGTACTGAACTGGTCAGAAGTGCTGCTTTGACCCCCTTAATTCTGTAATTGGCAGTCCTTGGCTTAACAGCCATTTTAGTGACCAAAGTTAACAAGGGCACTGAAAAATGGGATTGATCGCCGTTTTTCACACTTGCAAGATTCCCACGGTCATGCGATCAAAATTCGTCCGCTTGGCAAACTGGTTCACAGTTACGACGGTCTCAGGCGTCCCGGAGTCACGCGATCCCCTTTTGCGACCTTCCGGCAAGCCAAAGTCCACGGGGCAAGCCAGATTCACTTAACGACTGGTGTCGCTAACTTTAACAAGGTTTGCTTAATAAGGATGGCAAAGAAAGCTCGTCAAACTTACCAAAGAAGTCTTTCTTCATCATCCTCTCCTTTTAACAACTCCATAATCCCTTTGCCGGGTGAACTCTGGGCAACTGAATGGAGCTGAGTGTTTACTGGCCGGATGCCCTTCCTGTTGCCAGGGCGGAGTTCTTGATCAGCAGATATATTCTCAGTGTGCCCAGAGAGAGAAATGTCTGCCTCTCCCTAGGATCAAACTCACAGCCTCCTGATTTCAATTGTGGTTGTAAGTTGAAGGCTACCTATACAGATAGTCCTCGACTTACATTGGGGTGAGTAGTGACCATTCAAAGGTACAACGGCACTGAAAAAAAGTGGCTTATGACCGTTTGTCGGTTATGACAACTTTTACGGCATCCCCATAGTCCCGTGATCCAAATTCAGATGCTTGGCAACTCATATTTACGACGGTTGCAGTGTGTCCTTGGGTCACGCTGTCCTTTTGCGATCTTCGGACAAGCAAGTATCGATGGAGAAGCCCGATTCACTTAACCACTGTGTTACTAAGTTAACGACTGCAAGGATTCACCGACTGCAAGGAAGATCGTTAAAATGGGGCAACACTCGCTTAACGAAACGTCTCGCTTAACCACAGAAACATCGGGTCGTAAGCCGAGGACTCACCTGCGTTTGTGTCGCTTCTTTCCAGGGCGGTTTATTTTGCGTGTTATTCCCGAGCGAAGGAGCAATTCAACCGCGTCTTCGTACCCAACAGCAATATGGTCCATATTGCTTCAGCGGCTTCCGCAGGTGAGTTGACTTGCCCCAGGTAGCACGGTCTGGCTGTGCTTGTCCTTGTCCGGATGGACTGAGCCAGACACGCCCCCTTCGAGGGCAAAAATTATATTTCAATGTCAACGGGACCATTCAGGGAAGGGCACTGTGTTCAACGGGCTGGCGCAACCTCGTTTTGTCTTTCCCGTTGCGTTTCACCCAATTCGGATATTCTCACTCCTGCACGCTCCAGAGTGTGGTGGCTGGGGAATTCTGGGAATTGAAGTTCCTCGAGGACTGGTCCCCATCTTTTCTGCTGTTCCCCCCCCCCTTTTTTGGCTCTTCTCCAGCTTTTGTGACTAATTCCCTGATGAATCCCATCTGGATGGTGAAAACCAGAATGCAGCTGGAAAGAAGGTAAGGGGGAGGGGCATTCTGGGAGGTGAAGTCCATCTATCTTAAAAAGTTGCTGGGTTTGAAAAAATGCTGCACTAGAGCCTTAAATCTGTATAAAAGCAAAATACCCCTCACGCATCATCACAAAATCTCCACAACTGTAAAGCCTACAGACTCGAAATTTGGCACGTATGGATGTTCCTCTTGGCTTCTAGGGGCTCATTAAGAAAGGATTTTTTGAAATGACCCATCATAGCATTTAGTATTTCTTCTTCTTCTTCTTCTTCTTCTTCTTCTTCTTCTTCTTCTTCT